TTTGTACTGAGCTCTTTTCTACACTGCAGTTGAACTTTGCTCTCTGACCTGATCATTCAACAAGTGTGATCTCACATACACACACACGCTGTCTCATATGAATGGAGGTTTGCTTTCGCTGCACTCGACCAGGCAACAGTGTACTTACAGTGTCAGTCAAAAAAGGCAGTCCTCCTCTTCCTCCTCCTCCTCTGTGTTCACACACACACATATACACACAAACACACACTCAACCAGAGCAGAGCGGCATACAGGAGCCCGCGTCTTTATCTGCTGAGCGCACCTTTCACTCAGCCAATGGGAGCACAGCACTGCACAGCAGGAAGAGCTGATTCACAAGGAGTTAACGAGATCCTACTCACTTTCCATCCGCACACATATAAACACAAAATTTTATTTCATTCCTTATTTTATTTTATTTTATTTTTACATTTCGTAGTAGCTGTGAGGTCATTTGTGGAAAGATTTTTTTTCAGTCTATGGGAGCAAAAAAACAGACATAATGAAAAAATAAATATAAAAAATAATGAATTAATAATAATTCTTAATAATACTTAATAATTATAAATTAATAATGGTAAAATGATAAATTCATAGCATATAAATATAACAATAAAATGACAATTTGTTCTTTCCCCTCAAAACTGTAAAATTTATGGGGGAAGATTTTCAAGATTTTAGACAAACATAATTTTCCATAATAGAAATGATTTAACAGACGTTTGCCAAGATTAAAAAATCCTACAAAACATGAAATTGTCCAACAAAACCTAAATTTTAAAAAAGCCATCAAATTCTTAGTAATGATTTCATAGCATTGAAATAACTCACTTCGAAAACCACACACCTGTATCACACATCTGTATTTATTAGTTTAAAATGAACATCCTTGGAATTCAAAATAGTTCATTTCAGAGAATCACACTGTAATTCAAATAGTTTTGTTTTTCAGTGTTTACAAATACAGATGTGTTTTTAAAGTAATATATTTCAATGTGATGAATTCATTGGTGTTTAAATTTCATTATTAAGAATTCAAATTAAAATAATTTCTATGGTAATAATTTTCTCTTATTAGCTTTTTGATTAGCATCATTCAAAATTCGGATGTACAAAAAGATAAAAATAGTGCCTTGTCTTTGGAGCTCCAGTTTTTCATAACTGTCAAAAAAAAATTAAATTGACTTATTTCTGTTCATCATTTAGAAAAAATGTATTGCTAGTCATGTATGAATACTGTTTTCTCGAATTTTTACACCATTTTACAAATGCTCTAGCATATTTCTAGTGATATTTTTCTGTAATATATTAATTATAATTATCTGTCTCAGTATGCCTTACTCAGTATATCTCTAATGGCATTTATTTATTTATTTAGGCATTGTTAAGCCAAAAACGTAATTTTCTTCATATTTTCACTCTCAGGAACAGCTGTAGTAGGATCCTTGTAGCCTAAAATCAAGCCAATTCGGTGGAATATCTATAGTTTGTTTCTGTCATGCGTTGAAATCAAGCCATTTAATGGTGTTTTATTTTGTTTAATAAACTACTAAATGCTAGGATGACTCCTTAGATGACTTGATTTCAAAGTAACCGTAGTTTCCTATTCCTATTCCTAATTTCAGTTGTAGGGTGTAAATCCCTCTCCCTGATTTTTCTGTCCTAGTTTATCAGCTAGAAATAAGCCTTTCATGCGTTTGTGCTGGGAGTGCACAGGACTTTGTTCTAGTAATTGTCTGCCACCTAGTGGCCAAGGCTGAGCCTTAAACCAACCACAAGCAACTGTTTAAAAAAGTATTAATTAAATAATATAAATAATAATAATTAAATAATATTAATAATTACTCATTCTAATATATTATGATTTGTATAGTAACAGCACACACAGGAGGCACACAGGAACCTGTATGGTGGATGCTCCACATAATCTAAGACTAATACTAAACAAATTTTAAAATGTGTTATTTAACCAAGAAAAACATATGATCATTAATATGGGAGAGATTTTTATTTAACATTATGGAAGGAGTCTCCAGTGGCAGTGCTTTGTAACACTCAGTATGGTATTGTTTTGTCCTATTAGCCTTGGTGAGGGTGGTGAGGAAACATTAAATATACCTACAAAAGTACAATGTCCATTAATACATTATATACTTGGAAGAAAACTCAAGATGTGCAGTTATAGAAAGAAGAATCCGGTTTGGGGTGACAACAGTAACTCCACTTTGCGTTGGGCCACATGATACCACCCCCTCGTTGAATTTATTCCTATGACACCAAAGATGGTGAGATGGCTCACTTCTTTTTTCTCAGATGTTCACCTAGCAACAGTAAGTAACCAGATAGGCATATGTCCAGCATGATGAGCTGCTTATTATTAAGTAGTGCTCTAGTTTACCAACCAAAGAGACCACAGTCCTGTCCACTTGGTTCCTATCAGCTCTCAAGACCAAGATTTGCCAATTCAGGGGTCATACTACACACAGATGAAGTTTCTGTGAAGTGTCGGAACTCAGAATCCCCGTCTGAGTGGACACATTCGCGGGTGGATCAACGTATTTCTCAATTACCTATATTTTCACTTTTCTTCTAACTTAATCAAATAAATTCAATGAAGAATCCTCAGACGTTGGATGAGAAGAAGCAAACTTCTTTATTGCAGTAGCAATACAACATGTTCTAATGAGCTCAAAGAAGGTGAATTCCCTCAAAGGTGACACAGCAATCTCAAGCCAGAGAGTTGTGTGCCCCGAGCATCCAAAAAGTCCCCTATATATATGTACCCAGGCATCTGCCAACGCGTCTTTCTTCAGTTTGCCTATGTCAGCAATTCTTCAGTCTAGACCCTCATATCTCCCTATCCTTGAAATTCCATGTCTGACCTTCCTTCCTCCCAGCTTATTATCCCTCATTTACCTTAAAACTTTACCTTAGTTTTAAAGTTCTGTTGTAAGTTTCCTGCTTTTATCCTTTTTACTTTACTTTTATCCTTTTTAAGGTTAAAATGTAGCAAAAGCAAAATAAAAATTACTCTACATTTAAGCGAGCTCTATCCTATATTACTTGTTCATATACTCTCTATTTTAAACTGTGTGCGTTTGTATACTTTAAAGTCACTTTTAATTTTAAGCCTGTGCACCACTGAAAGGAAACTTATTACGCCAGTGCCGCTATTTTCAACTCTCAACTCTCG